TGTAAAATTTTCATATTTTTGCATAAAAAATAGAAAAAATTCTCAAGTGGGGTATAAAAAATGCGAAAAGCCGACTGACTGTTACTTCGACACTTGAAAAAAGCACAGGCATACAAGAAAAGTCACTTCAAAGCTATAGAATGCAGTGATAATGCTTAATAATTCCAAAAAAAAAAAAACTTGGCAATGATGATCATAATGAAAATGATGGTAATGTGTAATGAGTATTGGCCTCATATATGTACGTCTATGTATGAAGGTATGTAAATACAAACAGACTTAATCAACATTTTCTTAGACATGTCGTTTATCGTCCGGTGCAGAGTTGTAATGTCTGTCTGTCTGTCTGTCTATCTCACTGTCTGGGCACCAAAGCCAGCAACATTGTTTATCATCTTCATCATCATCATCCGCTTTAGAAGCGTCAATGGTACAGAAATATTAAGAGGACTACAGACAGCGTTAATATCAAAGGTGAGGCGCTGTGTGTTCAAGCTTTAGGCGTCCAATGTTGTGGCAAATGGATGAGCAGGCTAACTGCTTTGGGTGGATAACTATAAATATGTGCTTATGTATACGCTGTACAGTACATGGTTAGGTTTGTATATACATAGATATATTCACTGGTTGCTAGGTTGTTAGTAGTTAGACAGAAAGTCGAACATGCCCCGAACAACACTAAAGCAAATGCCTACCCAGTGTCTCTTGTACTTTAACTGACGGCAAAGCCTGCACATAGAATGGATATAAATATACATACACGTATGTATTCTATACAAAACAAGTATGGAAACGGTAAAATAAAAAAAATATTTAATGATGCTGATGCAGCAATTCGCCTGACACTCACTTGCAACAACGCCAGCAACGCGACACAGTCACTTAGTGCCACGGCAGGTCACTGAGTGTCTGCATAGAAGTATACATCTTTTTTACAATTTTTCTTTTTTTCTTTTTTGTTGTTTAAAAATTATTACCACTAACTGTTAAATGTTTTAAGCGATTAAACACAGAATATTGTATAAGTATCATAGGAAAAATAGTAAATTCGATGATGACGTACTAAAAGCACGTCTATACAGATTATAAGATTGTGTTGGCACGTATTTAAGTCGGTATACGAAAAATGCGCTTGGTATTAACACCAAATGTTGGTGCAAAAATTAGGTCACATTAAAAGTTAACAGACTTGCAAGGTGACAGTTATGCGAACTGTTCCTCTTGCACCTGATGCAAAAATAAACTCCGTTAATTGCAATTTCGATATGGGGAAATACAGAGTGCTCTATATGAGAAAAAAAAATAAATAAAAAAAATTCTTCATTAAAATAAAATAAAATTTGGGATTTACAAATGATTGATCTACATACATATGTATATATACACAAGTATACCCTGAATTTTTTTTAACTAATTTAAAAATAACATCTACAAATACATATTTAAAATAAAATCAACCAAAAGACGTACAGATGCTTCAAACATACGGTCATATGCATTATATACTTATGTACAAACATATGTATAGTAAACAAACCTTTCAAAACTCATGAGGAATTGAAACTGAAAAATATTAAAAACGCTGGTGTCGTAGCTTGAATCGACCATTCCCTTTGATTGATGAACTAATGACTCAGATGGGTTAAAAAGAGAAAGTTGTTGGTCAGAAAAGATTTCAAAATAATTATATACATATGTACATACATCCATACATATGTTTGCAAGAATATACTAAATGTATAAATATGCCAAGGAGAAAAGAAATAAATAAACAGAAGCAGCTAATAGTCCTACAAAGACACATGGCAATAGTTAAACGAACCTACATTAAAAAGATCGTAAACAACAACATTATTTATAATAAACTAAGAAATAACCGCAAAAATATTCTCCAAAACAGTTTTTAGGAATTTTTGCGCGAGTAACTGCCTTTGTCCAGATAACAATCCGGCTCGTTCCTGTATAAAGAGCCGACAGTGGCAGGAACTATTGGATTTTAGTCGCTTCCTACGACATACATGCCTTACCGCTGGTAATTGCTTGAAAGCAATTCGTAAATGAATGGCAATGTATCGTCAAAATTTACATTATAATAACTAATCGTTACAGCGCAGCGAGTGTGCTGAATGTCATGTCAGTTTCACCGTTTTACGAGAAAACGGTACAACGAAAAAAAAAGTATTCCCAAATGCAAATGTCATCATTTTGATGACTTTCATTTAATTGTAGCTTTACTTGCAGCAAAATCTATTAATAAAATTAAATAAAACAATAAATGACTAAAAAAAGCAGTATGTGCGAGTATAAATACAAAAAACAAACGTATTCCCTTTTACGTGCGCTGAATAATTTAAAGAACTAATTACGCAATCCAAAATATAATTTTATTCTTTTGGGCGGGGTAGAAATGTATTTATTATACAAGTAGGAATCTAAAAAAAAAAACAAGCAAATGTCGAGAGCAGCTGATATCATCGTACTGATATTAAAACGAAATGCACAAAGCGTACAAGTTTGTAAGCGAAGGTAGTTAAAGAAAAAAAATCTAAAAATTAAAAAAATAAAAAGTAAAGTGCTAAACAAATAATATACGTTTTACTAAGGCAAAGAAAATGTTGTGCAAATCGAAATGTCTGGAGGGGGAGAAAAGTTGCGTGAAAAGATACGAAGAGACAAGCGCAACAGACATTAATTGTATGTATGTACGTAGTATCTGAGAACACATAGCAAAGCATGAGTAACGGCCAACGCCCGCTTGACCCATTGGTACACATGGTCGTTTATATGTACAGAATACATACATCGAAATATATTTGTGTATATAGTGAATCATTTAAAAATCTGTATTTGTCTTATTATATAATATAAATATTAAAAAAAAAATAATTCGAATTATTGACATTTCGACGCTGCTCAGGCAGCAATTTCTCGTATATTTAGTTTATAAAAACATCTCTTACAGTTACAGCGCTAACTAAATAGTAATATTATATATGCACATATTCACATTCACCTACTATAGCTAAGTATATTTTCTTAAAACCGGCCGGCCGGTTAATTTACTTGTTCAATATTTGAAGTGTTGAGATATCGAGAAGTGGAGCGATAAGATAAGAGTATAAATGAACAACATGTAATCACTATTATTTAGAGAATTTTTAACGCTAAGAAAACTATAAATTATATTCATCTATATTTTACAAATATACATAAGAAAAATATAGTTTAAAATGCAAAGGAATCTTTGAAAATTTTTTCGCAAGTGTCTTTTGAACTCTACAACTGTTTTTAAAACTAATAACGTTTATTAATTTGTTTAAAAATTGTGCGGAATCACTAGATATACACATAGGACATAGCTGTGTTTTGAATGTCTCAAAAACCGTCCCTACTTGACACACACCCTGCTGCGGTTTGCACTGAAGGCGCCATTGCGTCGCCATATGTATTTGCTTAAATAACGTCAGTTAAGTGCAGTGGCCGCAGAAACGGTTTGACGGGAAATTTTTTGTTGTATGCTACTTGTGTTGGTGTTGATGTCGCGTGTCTTGCTTTGTGCATTTGACCCAGATTTCTAGCTTCTCTTGTGACTTAGCTGTTTATTTTTTTACAATTATTTATTTTTTGTACGCACTTTTGCACTATTGGCATATTTACATAGTATACATGCACGTATTCCCATATGTGCATATGTATGAATCTACGTAAGTAAACACATTTGCATGAATGCTGTGTATTTATCAAAGACAAACAAGCAAGTGTCTAGCAAGTTGTTGTGTTAAAATCAGCCAACAAGTTTCATTCATGTTTTACATCAAGAAATTGATAAGCGACCAATAGTCACGCAAACTCAATTGGACTATAGGAGGCAAGAGGATAGTCTTTAAAAATATTTCAATATTTAGGTTAATGGTTTTTTTGTTTGATATGTCCTTCCAGAATGTATTTATGTATCATATTCCAAAGGTTTCATTTTATGAAAAGAAAATGCAACTGGTTTCTTATTTTATTTCCGCGAAATTCAAGCGTAGGTGCCTTTCAATTATTGTTTCCTTTCAATGTGCATATCCGCCCACGTTATGCTGCCCACCAGTCTACCACTTTCTCGCCGTCAACATGACTTTGCAATTATTAAACTGATTGCCCGGGATATTAAGCGATGCGCTATATGACACAAAAATGATGCAGGGCGCTTCAAAATATTATAAATGATGATTTTAAACATCATTAAAGTAATAAAAAAAAGAAGAAAAATTTGGCAGAAGCTTTTGCGAAAAGAGTGTGATGTTATTTTAACCTCATTATTATAAACCTTGCTGCTTTTATTAATATATATATAAATACGTGCATACATATATATAATTAAACAAGTTTCAAATTTTCAAATAAAGACAGAGACCAAGACCAAACCCAAAAAATTACGAATCACTGGAAGTAAATAAGAACAATTGATGATGATATTCGGACGTGTATTTTTGTTGTACAACAATAACAACATAAAGCAACAACTACACTAACGAAAAGCTAAAATCAAGTTGAATAAAAATTATCGGAAAGAGAAGAGCTGCTCGTCCGCGTAGATAGCAATAGAGCACATGCGAGCGAATACGGCGGTAAAAAGTTCGAATACGAAAGCAAGAAAAGAAAAACAAAAAGCAGCGCAGCCGCAATTTAGGCGGCGACGTGCCGGACTACTCAAATTTGGTGTGCTGTGTATAGCCACGATGAAAAGGAAATTAAAAAAGTAAAACATGACGTCATTTTGGATTACCGAACGTATATAATCTCAGTGTAGACGCTAGTAGTATATAAATAATTAAACATGAAAATTTCAATAAAATTAATATTTGTATATTTGCATATTAGATATTTTTTTAAAACTTATTACCTATGCTGTTTCAATAATAAAACACATTGGTAATTCAGACAAAAACCGATTTAAGCTTATCTCTACTGTAAACCATTTTTTTCTCTTCTTCTTTAGTAAATTCTCAACTTACCGCCTTATTGACTGCGTTCTCTTTCTCTTTCACACCTTTTTCTTCTGTCAATATGCGTGCGCTGGCTGCCGTTGTAATTATTTTTATATCCTTCTTCTATTATTGCTATTATCTCTTTGTTCTGCTCTCAAACTTAACCCGTTCTTTATTCGCAAATAAATGAAAAGAAAAAATGTTTTCTCTTATTTATACTTTTTTTCTATCGAAAATTTTAAACTTGAAATTTTATACACACACACACGCACAATTGATAAACACATAAAAAATTTTCACTTTTTTGTCGTTTTATTAGCTATTGTCCGCTTTGAATTTTTTTAAATAAAAGAACGAAGTTTTTGCTCGAGACGACAATATACTATCATTTATATTAACATATGATGCTGTCAGAACAATTTCGACCCGTTTTGCACTAAATTTAGAGATTATATTTACGTATGAAATAAAAACTTGCCGCACATAAGCCAAAAATTTTCCTCTATTTAAATAAATATTATTTTTGTTTTGTTTTTCACTCAAAACTAATTGAAGAATTTAGCGGCAACACTGAATCGAATGTACCGCTATGTCGAAACACGCACACTCACAAACAATTCGAGCGATCAGAATGAAACGACGACGAAATTAACGGCGTTCAGCAAACCGAACTTCTACAGCGGCAAACTCAAATTGCTTTCACGAACAAACCCACTCAACTCAAAAGCCCCAACGAAACATTTCGGTCTAAAGAAAATGAAAATAAAGGGAAATTTCACAATTGAAACAGTGAGTGAGTGAGTTGGTGCTTTAAATTGGAATGAAAGAAAAGGAAAGCAACTTATTAAAAATGGAAATCTAATGAGAACAGGCAAGTAAGTTGCCAGACATAGCAAGTGGCAAGAAAATATACCATTTTGAGTTTTAAAATTAGTGGAGATATTGTTGTGGAAAACTACTTTAAGAAAAAACTATTTGGTATTAATATTCATTTTTTTTATTTATTAATAACAACTCAGCTAGTAGCTATCATCCACACGCAGCAAAAAAGAAAAACTAATGTAAAAAGAAAACGGTAGCATTGTTTTTAGCAGAAATTTCCCTTTTCCTATTTTAAATAGGGAAATTTCTACCCAGCAAAAAAATATGTAGGAAGGCATACGCCCAATTGAGGCAGTGGTCAGATATTAAAGCCTATATTTGAATGTCTATGAAGTTCATTGAATTTTTCGTGCTATTTAAAAAAAAAATGCACTTGAAATGTTATTAAATATAACACAAATACACGAATGTTTCTTTATAAATTCACATTTAACGGATTATGTCATTGAACGACCTTTCCACCGCCTATAAATTAATTCAAGTTAAAACGATAGCTTAAATTCTGATTAAGAAGCATTAAATATTTGCCGGTTACTGGTGCAATATCAGCACCAGAACATCGGTCATCGGCGAGGATAGCAAATTCACCAATCAACCGCTTCTATCGATTTTTAATTGCCCTTTAACCAAATTTTCTTTTCACTTTCAACAGCAGCACATAAATGCAAACTTTTCTGCACAATTCAGTTCGCCTGTGGCACACATTTTTTTTGCATTACTTTCATGTATACATTGTTGGTTTTGTAAAGTACTAATTAATCACTTTACTTAATCTTTCTAATTTATTTTAAGCTGATTTACAACAATAAAACCTTACAACAATTTTTCGACGTTCGTTTTCTTTGAGCTACTCCAGCGCAAACACTCGAGTCGACGTTCGTTCGATTCCGCTTTTGCTTCTGTTCTGATTCGCCTGATTCGCCTGAAATTACCGACGTTTCGTTTTTTCTAATTGCATTCGCGTCGATTTTCCGGTGCGATTTTACTATGGGAACGAATGAGTACACAATATTACATAACCGGTTGTGGTTGTTTATTCATTCTAATTGGAAATTTATTGAGAATGATGTCATATATGAAGCCCGTTGAAGAAATAATGGGATATTCCAAAATACAGCGATGTAATTTTGTAATATGCATTGCCAGATTATCTCTATTGCTGAAACGTGGCTAAAACAGATTCAGCGTCAAGAGCATATCTGTATTTAGTTATTGATATAGGCATGGTGAGTTTATCTTGCCCCTGTTTTTCATTATTGGAATTATGTTAGGCCGAACCCGAGCATTTCCGACATTGACCTTGGCACAACTCAGGTCTGGATACTGCAGCAAGTTAAACTCCTTCTTATCCAGGCTGGACCCCAGCATACCCAACGTATGCCCTGTATGTGGAGAGTCTCCGCACGACACTAACCACCTTTTCATATGCTCATCTAACCCCCTCTCCCTTTGGTTCAACCCCGTCGAAACCTCAAATTAGATGACCTCGGCGACTTAGATTAATAGAGCATGTGCATAAGCGGGATTACCTAACCGCTACAACAACAACAACAACGACGAAATTACCGACTTTGGCATGAAATTTTTTTTTTGCCTGGTAAAAGTTTAGAGAGTTCAAAAAAAATCCATCTTGTGATCAAGAGAGTTTAGAAACATAAATTTAAATATTAATAGAGTGAAATAACCTGTTTAATAGATTTATCCATTTGACTAAGAAATTCTACCGTTGCTGCAGTTGTCCGGAAAGTTTTACCTATCTTACTATTGTAATTTATTCGTGTCCTATGACAGATATGTCTTACCGGGGGTAAATTTTTGAATCCCAATTGACGTTGTTTTCAAACGACGATTTTTATAATTGTGAATTTAAAAGAAATATTTTTATTGTTGTTGTTGTTGAAATTGCAAAATTATTTTCCATAGTAGTTTTTTGGGAGTGTTGTCGGTGTGACAGTGCTTGGTCGGATAAAAAATCTGGGTTCCAGTATAGAGACCCAACTGTCGCCTCACACGACAGGCATACCTTACGGCGGATAAATTCTTGAACCCCTTACCCGCAGGGGTTAATATCCTTTGATTGCTGTGCACCATATTTCAATTTCGAAAAGGAAACTTATTAATATTAGCTATGCATTCGCGATTTCTTTAATAATATTCTAATAGGATAAAATAAATATATTCAATGCAAAATTTGTAACTTAATTAAATTAGTAATCATAATTTCGTAATCTTTGAAGCAACACTTTTGATAAAATGTAGTGAATAAAATCAGTACACTAACACACTGCTCAAACCACTATGGTGAACTGCAAGGTCGTTTTGTAAGTAAGAAGAAGCATTAACTAAGAAAGGGACGAAGCGCCGCGGTTGGTGTGATAGCTTTTTATTTTAGTTTTTAAGTTTAAAATTAATGCCGGTGTCAAAATTATATAGTAGGACACAGCATTAAAACGGTAAGTTTCCCTATAATGAATATACAAGATGTAAATTATATTAAAGCACAAAAATCATTTCACTCAACAGGCATTCTACAAATAGTGATTTATTATAGAAAACAACAAAAGCTAACATCTAACAGCATCTACGGATACGAATAGAATATAGCGTCAAATCGGTGTGTTGTAAATCCCATTTCACAAAAGCTAACTCTTCTAAATTAAAAATGGGACGCAGTCCGTCTCCAGCACACAGACGACGTGAAAAGGAGCGTTCTGAACGTAAAAAGAGGCGTGAACGCCGATCCAGAGAACGTGAACGTATGAGGGAACGCGAAACGGGTGCTGGTAGCAGTAGCCGTGCCTTACGCAGACGATCCCATGAAAGGGGTGGCGGCGATCGCGACAGGAGCCGTAGCAGAAGCCGTGAGCGTGACCGTGCAGGCCGACGCCGTTCTAGGTGAATAATGAAGTGTAGTGTATTAAATCCAGACCAAAACGTCACAGAACTAAGTATAACACTTTTTTTAACTATTTATATTTACGTTAAGATATGAATTTCTCAATTTTTCGTAAAAAAAACGCGTTTAAAATTTGTATATATCGGTATAACATTTATTTTACTAATGGAATGTTTACCCGAATACAACCCTATGAGTACGCGTTTCCCTCGCTTTTTTTTCTTACGGCATTTTATGTCAAATTTGACAATTCTTTGACATTACCACGTGAAGTGAAATAGCCGATGAAATTGCTGTAGATATCCAAGAATTTCATCACAGCATTTAATTAAAAAGTTTAAAAAGTCATTTACCCTTTGCTAACTTCATTATTGGTTAGTCAGAAGTAAATACGTAAAGAAGTAGTCCAATTGGAAGAAAGTGTAAAATTAAATAGAGTAAACAAAAATGGCATTACGCGTGCAATTTGAGAACAATGATGATATCGGCGTTTTCAGCAAACTTACAAACGCATATTGCCTAGTCGCCATCGGCGGTTCTGAGGCTTTCTACAGTGTGTACGAATCGGAATTGTTAGAGGCCATACCGGTGGTACATGCAAGTATCGGCGGCTGTCGTATCATTGGCCGTCTCACAGTAGGCAATCGTAATGGTCTACTTGTGCCACATTCCACAACCGATGTGGAGCTACAACATCTGCGCAACACATTACCGGATACGGTGAAAATACAACGTGTAGAAGAACGTCTATCGGCTTTGGGTAATGTCATTGCCTGCAACGATTATGTAGCATTAGTACATCCCGATCTAGACAAGGAAACTGAAGAAATCATCGGTGATGTACTCAAAGTGGAAGTATTTCGACAAACAATAGCTGATAATCCATTAGTAGGTTCATATGCAGTGCTCAGCAATCAAGGCGGTATGGTACATCCCAAGACTAGTATACAAGATCAAGATGAGTTATCATCACTTTTACAAGTGCCATTAGTGGCAGGTACAGTAAATCGGGGCAGTGATGTATTGGCTGCCGGTATGGTTGTCAATGATTGGATATCATTTGTGGGCATGAGTTCAACTGCCACAGAGATGTCGGTTATAGAGAGCGTATTCAAATTGAATCAAGCTCAACCGAGCACAGTTACAACTAAATTGCGTGCGGCGCTTATTGAAGAGATGTCCTAAAACTAACATGCATATTCTGTATACTCGTAACAAGTGAAGTTCTTCTATGAAGTAAAACCGAAATTATATTGAAGTATAACAATTATTTGTAATGGAGATAAATATATATACATATTTACGAAATAAATTTATTGTTAGCAACTAAATAATATTAATATGATAGTTTTTTTTTTAATAAAAATGGAAAATGAAAAACAAATGACTGAATTTTATATTGTACAATATGATGGGGATTGCTATAAACAGCTTACATAGATTTATATATACTTGCGTGTGTATGCAGTGTTTTAGATGAGTCAGAAATGCTTTTTTTTAAATGAGATTTCAACAGCTTGCACGACATAGTGTATTTTATTATTACAGATAAGTGCTTAACTCATCATTATACAATTCAGTTAAAACTTTTTATTATTACATATTTTTAACTAATATCTGGTTATAACATCATCTCTGCATTTAGGTCACACTCCCGTGGACATCCATCTACCTCAGCGTCAACGTCCTCTGGGCGACGAGGCGGTGCCGCAGAGCGGCCAAAAATCACAGAAGCCGATTTGGAGGGCAAATCGCCCGAAGAAGTTGAAATGCTAAAAACAATGGGTTTCTGCACATTCGACACCACCAAAAATAAGAAAGTCGAAGGCAACGATGTCGGTGAAGTGCATGTAATCTTAAAGCGCAAGTATCGCCAATATATGAATCGTAAAGGTGGCTTTAATCGGCCGCTGGACTTTGTGGCATAGCGTGTTGGGGGTAGCGCGAAACATGTGAAAAACGCGTCTACCACCAGCTCGTGCGCATACACAATGGCGATATGTCGATGTACACTTTTGTACTGATGTTTTCTTTTTCTTTTCTCTATTATACTAATATATTTTTTTTTTAAATAGTGCAGCTGCTGTGGTGCTCAGCACAATCAAAGCTGCAGCAGCGTGCACAGACAATCCTGCAATTTTATGCAATAGACCGGTTTACAAAATTCAATTTTCAAAATTTCCACCACACATACCTCATTAATATTATAAATATTAACATATTTTTTCCTGTATTGTCCTGTTTAAGTTTTTCCCATAGTATGTAAGCTCTAATTATAAACGACGAATATGTGAGTGTAAAGTGTTGAGTAAATGCTGCCCAAAGTGTGTAAAAAAAAACTAGCAAAAAGAATGCAAATCAGTTTGTAATAACAGTAACTTTGAAAAGTATGCGCTAAATGAATTTAAACAAATTTAAAATTTCTCGTTTTAAACTTTAGTAGTATGAAATTAATTTACTACTTACTGTATTAAAAATTTTGTTAAAATAGTTTATGATGCAACATTACTCACACGTTTCGCATTTTGGTAGCCGTGAAAGTTGATTGAACGACGTACTTTCCATACATATTTTTGAATATTTAAAGTAATTAAACAAAATGTTTTTTGTTTTTTTGTTTTACAAACAAGCACAATGAAATGAAAACACAATTGTACAAAACTAAAATGAATTAAGGCGAAAGTGTTGTGCGTTTATATTAAAATTTAAATTTTTTTTGTACTTTTTGTGCCGCGAAGGCTTACAAAAGACGCGTTTAAAATGAAAATAATTGAAAGATGGAAATTTTTAAATTTTCGTAAATCGTTTGTTATAAAAAAATTTATCTAACTAAACACGCCTGAACTCTTGCGCTTGATTCATTTTAGTTCCATAGAAAAGCAACAATTTGAAAAGGAAAAAATTACGGTTTGGCTGCTACCACAATCAGAAAGAACACATTTTTTCATACAACAATTACTTAAAGTATTTGAAAATCATTAAAATATCACACATTACAACAATAACACAAACCCATATACCCCTTAAGAAACAAATATCCCAGCACGCATACAAATGCATAACTCCCCCATATATCCTCCATACACTGCAATAGTACAAAATATCAAAATATTTTTATTTTTTATTTTTATAAATATACAAACTTTATTTACACACAAAATAACATAAATAACCCAAACCTTAAATATCCTACCCAACATAATAAGCCTTACCCCGAACCCATACAATATATTCCCACCCAAATAATAACCCCTCAAATACACACAACTACAATAGACCAAATATGCAATAGCCAGGGATTTTATATAATTGTAAAAACAGAAGAAAAAAAAATATAAAAACAAAAAAAAAATAGAATTGTTACCAAGTTATCACATACATACATACATATGTATGATTATACATGGTAATGCATGTAAAATATGTATTTAAGCATTTTTACACTACAGAATGTGTGACTTATTTTGTTTTTATTAAAGAAAAACTTTTATATTTCAAACAGTTAATTCACACACAAGTGCCGTTAAGAAGAGCAGAAAATATTGAAAAATGAAATATAATAGTTATTAATTTTTGTAATAAACCAACAGTTAGGGATACAAAGAACTGATGTAAGTTAAAAGAAAATTGAGTGATTATGAGAAAAATAAATCGAGAGCGAGAGCTTAAAGAACAATAAGACATATTTATATTTCGCATAAAAGCACATACTCGTAAATATTTGATTTTGAAGAGTGAGAGATGAATTTAAGAACTGCTAGGAGTATTTTCATTCTTTTATTCAACAATCGGGAGCACTAAACTTGAGCTGCAGCAACAAATCGCAAATTAATTTCAAGCAAATTTAGTAAAAAAAAAATAAATAAAATAATAATATTTTTTTTTTTATTGTAATCTATTGAACGCATAAGACTCGAAAAGAAAAAAATTCAAAATAAAGTTTAAAAAAATTATTCAAAACCTTAATTCGCAAATAACCGCTCTCAGCTGCGCTCGCCTTAAAGGAAACTCAATTTTTTTTAGTATCTATTAAAACTACAAAATACATATGTATTTATTATAAATATGTATTTACAATTGTTAAAACAGCACTTACTTTTCTAATACAAACTTATACATATATGATAATATACATATTCACACAACAAATCGCAATAGTTGTTATTTGGCTTAAAACTGATAACGATTTGGCACTACCACACACATACACACCCCATATAGAACACATACATACACAACATAGTTATAAATAAACGAAATTGCAGGGATTTATTAATTTTTTATGTTTTAATTTATACTTCTACTACTATTTAATGTTTTATTTTATTAAAAAAAAATGAAAAATAAATAAAAATAATTTAATTTTCTCCATTTGGTTAAAATTTGCGCTTTCAGCTTTATTTTTACTTATTTATAAATACATTCGGCAATATTTCAACTTCTCATTTAGGCTGACTCATACTAATTTGTTGTATTATAAGCTTCACTTTAGAAATAATGAAAAAAATATCTAAAATTTAAAAAAAAATATAATTTAATGATTTAGTTTTAATTTTAATTTGGTTTAAGCTTATATTTTAATCATGAAGTGATTTGTAATTAAAAATTGAAAAAAAAATAAAATAAAAAATAAAATAGAATTCAAAAATAATAAAAAGCACGAAATTCAAAATTTGAATAAACTTGTTTAATTCAACTAGCCATAAGGATGAGAAACCAGTCAATGACGTCTTATTGAGACACGTGGACTGTATGCCATTCGCAAAAATCAGAAGTGGGATAATAATGATGGCTTAGAGAATATAATGCATACCACCGTGTAGTATTTTCTTATTAAATGCCTTACGTGAACCGTGAATGTACTGCCCTGAAACATTGGGCGATGGTATCTAGAATTTAGCTTACACTTACACGGATAGACAATTTATCATTTTGCAGCAAAGCATGTTGAAACTCCCTATAGAATTGGCTGCTGCATTGACAGTTAACTTCTCAACAAACGGGCAAAATATTCTTACCAATTTAGGTTTTAGATTTAGAAGACAGCGAAAAGATGTCCTATAGAAAACATACTTTTTAAAGGAGGCAAGAACTTACTCCCTCCTTTTTGAATGTCACAGGGAGGATCTATTTCTCTAAAGTCAATAAACGTGTGGCTCGATTTCATTAGGGAAGAGTTTGCGGTGTTTATCAGGTATTTGAATTTTGACTCAACTAAAGCAGGGTAGAGTGGAAATGAGGGATACGAAGGGTACTTCCAAACGAGGCCTAGCAATGGAGTTGTTTCGACGAATTTTAGCCAGAGGGAGCGCAGTTTTTGGCGCAGAGAGATGCTTAGGGAAGCGCGGTAAGCTATTGCAGGATGAACATACGTTTTTCATACCCGAAACCAATATGGATAAGTAAGAGTCGAGTTTACCACGACATCGACTCCCATGACAGTTTGTTTAAAGCATTAAACTTGAACTGAGCTGTCACTTTTGCGGCGATTTAACCCCGTCGACTCTACGTAAACAACAGCAATGGCATGATCTTACCATGGTCTTGTCAACTGTATTTAATTCATAAAATCTTCATCAAACCAGATCCAGAAATTTTCAAGGAAAATGCAAGACTAAATTATTTTATTGTACATATATGTAGTTGTATTTAAGTATTTGTTTATAAACAAGTGTTACAAATTTTGCAACTTTTTCGCTTTCTCATGTTTGTAATTCAATTTATTTCTAACTCGTTATTATAAAATTGAATTTTATCCTTCGTAAATTAGCGCTTTTTTTGCGTTCCATATCTCTAACAGTCAGTTTATTTATATAGAACATGTAAATACATACATACATAAAATTTGTTTCCATGATTCCGTTCCATTTTTTTACTATAATAAAATACACAAATTTTAGTAGATATTAAAAAAAAACTTTATTTAATTTAGTACTAAAGAAAATGCTTAAAAAGTAAAAATACTTTTATTGTTAAAAATAATATTTATATTAAAGTAGATAGATTTTGATAATTAACGAAAAAATACATCCTGAGCAGATGCTGTCGAAAATTTAATTTTAAGTTAACTAAATTTAATTTTAAGTTATTTTACTGAGCAAAAAATTTATTTCTGTGGAGTGTTAAGTGTTCAGAAAATGTCCAAAATGCCGTCGTAGCGCATTTACATTTATATATTTACGATGTAAATGCTTAAAAAAAATGTGTTCTCAAGCAAATAATATTACTTAAACTTTTGTAATTAATTATAATCGTGTATTTTAAGCTATTTTCATATGCTTAAGTGTGGTAGTTCTAAAAAATTAAACTTATTAATATATTTATTATGCAAAAAAAAAAAAAATTATATTAATAATAATAATAAAATATGTTAAAAGATCAATAATTAATTTTATAATGCACAAAAAAGTAGTGATGATTGTGTAGTAAAAGTTTTTTTCGTTTTGTATGCACAATACCTCTAGAGAGAAAAATAATTTTAAAAATATCATTAAACAGCGGCGACTTCAAAATTAATAATAAACGTCAGTGCAATGTTATGTTTTCATGATGTTTGGTTTAGAATATCTCATATTATTTCACTTTCAATCAAATTAGTACATAATTTATTACATGCTAGTATTTTATATATATTTTTTTTTATTTATAGCTATTAGAGCACGTTGTTGCTTGTGCAATGCTTCGTCTTTGTTCTTAAAATGCACAATTTTTTGTTTTTGTTGCTTACATGCATTTCAGTACTTCGTCGTGTTGAGTAAAAACAAAACTATTACAAAACTTGTATTTTTTGTCAATTAATTTAAATGTGTTCACGTTAGCTACATATTTTTTTTTTTTAACACAACGCGCTCCCATATAAATAAGGCATTATTTTTTTTTTTAGTTTTTCTCCGATGAATTCGCACAATTTAATGACTAAAAGTGAAGAAAAAAGCCAAAAAAAAAAAAGTCACAAGTGCTAATTGGGTTTTGTTTAAAATGTCATATTTGAAATTACAGTAAATAATAGTTTATGATCAAGTGTTTAGAGTAAGCGGTTGTGCGTTTTATTAGCAATACAAATTATTTAGTATGAGTGTTTGTTTAAATTAAACTTCAGTTAAATAATACACCATTGCAATATACCTACGTTCGATATTTCTATGTTTCAAATGCATGCTGAATAGTTTTTGTTTTTTTTTTTTTGTTTGTTTGAAGATTTTGCAATTCTAAATACTTTTTTTTTTAATTTACGAACTATTTCGTTTATTTGAACTCTATGCGCATATCGCCGCATAATCGAAGTAAATATAAAAAAAAAAAAAATATTATAGCCAAAATAATGTGGCGTACAAAAATGCACAACACATGAGCAGATAAAATGCTCTATACGCAAAATAAAATTTAATGTGAGAATATTATTATTATGAATGTTGTATTTTTCTTTTACGAAGTTGTTTTTTTTTGTATCGCTTAATCAGCTTTTCGTGGCTTGCGTTTACGCACTTCAGCCGGACTAGTGTTCTTTGAATCTTTCTCCTTCTCAATTAACGTCTGTGTTGCATCAGCAATATCGCCAGCCGATTTTTTTACATCTTCCTCACTTTCGGCTTCATCTGTTACGCTTGTAAACGAATTTTTCTCACCTTCTGACGTACCAGCCGCATCATCGTCTTCTACACCAGCGCCTTCACCATTCTGCTCCTCATCATCATCATCATCCTGCTCTTCATCGTTTTCATCTTCGTCTTCGTCCTGTTCGTCGCCCAAATCATTTTCGTCTTCAATTTCATCGGCCGGCAAATCTTCGACCGCATTCGAACCAGCAGATTTTTCTTTGAATTCTGAGAAACTTTGACGTTGAGATTTCTTTGGAGGATACAAAAAGTCGACGACACAAACGAGCAATAAACCTAAAGCAGCGCCAACAAATATGGTTCCGATGGCGAAGAGCGCATATGAGCCCCAGGTGGGTAGACCATATTCTTCTTGTAGACGTACGTTGAAATCCTGTGTGAGAGTGTGAAAATCCTAGTATTTTTGACTGATTATTTCAAATCTTGTTTATACATGAATCACATATATATATATATATATATATATATATATATATATATATATATATATATATATATTGCGGAAATACTTTAGCATAAATAGTTTTACTATAATGGGTAGGTATATATATATATCTTTTTTTATGTATAAACTTACCTTTAGAGTGTGCGATAATTTAAAGAAATATGATAGTATGGACATATGTATGGTATCCGGTTTTTTCCATGCTGATATCGGTTCAAGCTTTTTCCATTGTTTGTCTTTTATAAACAACATCAAAGCATCGCCATCACGTGAACCACGATATTGACGGAATTCGCCATCTTTAACGCTGTTATTGTAGGCAATATAGCACATATTTATTTCTTCGAATATATTAATTAGTCAAGTTATTTATATTGTACTTACTGATAAATCGTAGGTAGCGCAGTAACAAAGAAACGCCCACTTAGCGACGGTGATGTAGTTACATCGATTTTGGCCACATGAACACCCAAGTGTTCGGCGTTTTTAGCGAAGCGTTCCCAAGTGGGTGCAAGATTTTTGCAGGCAGGGCACCATGGAGCGAAACTAAAATAAAATTAAATAATTTGTTACTCGCACTTATTGAAGATAGTTATGAAACTTTAATTTTTAACCTATTTCTTTAGTACACCTGGTGTTTGATATATGTATATGTACATACGTACATGTATGTATGTGTATCACATGATTATGGAAAAACTAACAAATTGTTCATATTAAATTGCTTGTAACACCAAGGCAAGGCAGTTAATAATAATAATTACGAATTATATATCTGCCTACAGCGCCAGCGGATAGGATTTTAAGTTACGTCTATTGGTGACAATAAATACCGGCAACAAATTAAGCTACATGTTTTAATAAACACAATTTTTTACACACCACATATATGTATATATGAATACATATACATGCGAGCATAAATCTCAAACATCTGCTACCCAAAGAATAAAAGTATTGTCCTATTTCAGCTTGTGAAATGTCAGTACGTGTAGATACATATGTATGTACATGCTGCATATTTACATACATATCCACATATGTAACTATTGGGTTGCAATGCAGGAGGTCTACGCATAGTTTTTGCCATTGCAAATTTTCTTGATAGCCAACTTACAATTCTACCATCCATTGTCCGTGCAACATATCTTGCCAATTTTCTTCATTCAATTCCACCAAAGCAACTTTATGTATCGCCTGCGTTGGCATATCTTCTTCAATATCCAATTCGTCTACATGTGCCATCAATGCTTTGAAAGCAGTAAACGTTGAAAATACGACCAAATAAATAGAAAATGCATTTAAACAGCCCCGTGCAAGTTTTGACTTAGAACGTGTGGGTAACTCCATTTCTGTTTCGCTGTTGCCGCTTGGCTGGCTATCTAACTATTATTTGTTCGTTGCTTAGGTATTTCCCTTGATTGCACGCTATCTACAAACAATTATTATTTGCTTCAAAACAGTTTATATTCATTCAATCACAAATTTTGATAGAACCCGGTAATTAATAAATAAAGAAAATTACGCTGTGAAAAAATTACCGTCTGCTCGTAGCAGAAAAAATGACGAATGTGGGTTTTCCTGTCTTCTTTTTTTGCCTTTGTGTGAAATTCCGACGCATTGTTGCATCGAATTTTTTGACAGCTATCGATAACGATCGATAACAAGTATTGGTAAGGTTGGAACGAGTTTACTGTTTAAGAAAACAAAAAAATAGGTAAATATCATAACGAACTGATTAGCTAAGACGTACAATAATAGAGTTCTGTTTTAGCATTTTGTTGCGCTGATAAAATGTTTTATTTAATTTTTTTTTTTCATTTACATATAACAATCGATCATATTTTTAACACTAAACTGCTGCCACCACTAATCATGTTATTTACATTTCCGTTGTCAAAACGATTTTAAAAACAATCAAAGACGTATTCGAAAGTGATATCGGTGCGCGAATAGCGCGAATATAGCGCAGGTAAAAGAAAGAAAAAAGGTAATTACAGATGAGGTACAATTGTATGTGCGCGTTGTGATAACAAACAATAGTGATAAACTCTAACAAAAAAATTAGTAATTCGGGGAATCCACCATTGACGATACTTAAGCCGTTATGCCACATACAAAAAGAACAACTGTAAAATATACATAGTGTGTGCAGCCGAAGTCATTCCAAAAACGAACGTCACAGTGAATGAACGGTACTGAACTAACGTCTGAAACGAATATTTGTTTTTGTCTCATTAATTCTTTCCAGTGTCAATATAATTGTTAAAAAATTATAATAAAAAAAGAGTTTATATTTTAAGTGACTGTAGAAAATTTTCAAATGTCTGCTTTAAGTGAGAACGGTGGAGATGTTAATAGGATGGCTGCTACAACTGCACAAAATAATTTGAAACCTCATACCGCTGAAAAGTGGGGTAAGCAAAACGAAAATAAATAAATTGATAATGTTTAAATATAATGAGATTACAAATAAAACAACAATTTTTGCATTTTATTCTCATGCATCATTTTCTTTTTTTCTTGGATTTTCTAGAGATTGAAGCGATTGGTCAATTTCTATTCGAAGAATATCGGAATTTATTATTTGGTTCGCGAACCGACTGGCTGACACAAAAATCGGATTTACGTTATAGATTTCGAAAATACCTGGACAATGATAAAACAGGAATACGTGAACGTTTATTGGAAGCAAATGGCACATTCGATGTAAGCACTTAAACTTAATACGTTATATAATTTTGCACCTAAAAATACAATTGAACGCTGCCATAAGTTAAGCTTATAAAGTGAATTTTCCTAGAAAATGCTTTGTTTCTCGAATTCATGTAGAAATCGTATATTTCGTGTGTAAAAAAAATAGCATTTAAAAGCATAAGCGTATCGTTTGATTTTTCCTATTTCATTGTTAATTTGTATGGCTGGTCTTTAATCCAGCTTATCACAGCCAAATTCAAACTATTTAATCATGAAGATATTACAGAAGTGTTCATATTTCTTTGTGCATGTTTTTTTTTTTTTTTTCAAATATTTTGAAAAGCCATAAATAATGTTGTTTGCGGATAAGGAAACCACATATGTTCTATGTAACTTTCTTTAAAATGCTTGCAATAATTACACAGAAAAGGTCTAGGTTTATTTTTTCAACGCGTATATACACACATACATACATATATACATTTACTGATAAATAAAAATGTAGAAGTATTTTAAAAGAACAAAAGGGTTAATAATTAAAGTAAATGCACAAAAAAACGCTTACGTATGTATTCGTGTATGTATGTACATTTGCTTAGATATGACGTTGTGTATATGCAGGTACTACATACAGATGCTGACATATGCATATCCACGATTATCGCCTCATATGATAGAAATTGAAGCAAATACAATTTATTTGTAAACATTTGAAATACCCTATTTCAATTATATATATGTACATATGTATATGTAGATATGTGCAGTTGAGTGTAGGTATACATCTATAGCAGAAATTTGATGACTGTTCAAGTAGATTTTCTTTCTTCACTAGTTTTATGGGAGTATGGGGATACATAAATGCATATGCATGTGCTTATGTGTATTTTCTCTTACAGATTTTTTCAATTCTATATAGCTATGTAAATATGTTGAAAAAATGAAAATATGGTTAATAATATGTAGACTTAACTTGGACAACTTTTAATTTATTTATCTATTATAAACATTCGAATTCCATCATCTTTAACTTTTATTTTTTTTGCTGCAAAACCTGTTTCACCCAAGTTTTATGCAAAAAAAAAAAAAAAAATTATCTAAAATACGAAAAAAAAATTAATTCAAAATTATTTAAATGTTAGTGCTTTTGTTCGAAATTGAAAAGCTGTAAAAATGTCTGTTTGTAATATTAGCAAATAATTTGCAAGCACAGTAAATGAAATTTAAATAAATGTTGTAATATAAACAATCTGTACATTTGTATATACGTATAAATGTAGAAAATATTGCTAAGAAAGTACGTGTATATGTGTATAATACCAATATCTGTATATAAAGAAATTTATATACGCATACACGTATGTACTATCCACTGCCAGTTGAATGGTAAAGCGATAACGAATTGCGATTTCGCTACCAGCCGTAAACCACGATTGGAAATATGAGCATATTGCTTATACAATAATAAATCACACATCGTATAAAAAATATCTACATAGTAACGTTGTCACTTTTTTTGTATTTGTATTTTGTATTTATTTGAAAATGTTTAAATAATTATAATTTTCCATATCATTTCTGCCTGCGCTTATCGATATGAATGTACATACAGATATTAATCAGTTAATAGCATGCAAATGCATATATATGTATGTATATAAATATATCCAATAAAAAAAATAAAATTTAATTTGTTTTCATTTGTGTACTATGTAAATATGTATGTATTTATCTCCGTACGCTGCACTAACTTTTTAAGTAAATTTTAACTTGTTTTTTGTTAAAAATATTCAATTAATTCTTTTGAATTTACAAATTATTATTAGAAATCGTATTGATCTATACACACACATGCATAAACGATTTATTCTTATAGATTGGCACCTTACTTTATCGCTGCCATTACCTGATCAACACGGAAAAGGGTTCGAATTTCTATCGTATTAAAAATTCGTCATTATTTGAATATATAAATAAAAGATGCGATGAATTAGATGAAAAACAAAAGAATGGCATATCAACTGAATTCATGTCAGGTGAAAATGGCAGTAAAACATCCACAGGCTATGGTGATCCGGCCATTACAGGTATGGGGATATATTTATAAATTCATATATGTAAATACATACCTACATATGTACTAATTTTGTTTTGAAAACATTTTATAGGCTCATTACAAGTGGATGATAATGCGCCGACACACGAACTCTTGTATGAGGGTAGTCAAGAACAAGAACGGTCAGCCACATTTCAACTCACTAATATGGGCTGTTACATTTGCCAAATGAATTTCACATCACCAGATGATTTTGAGAATCATGTTGAAACTCATGGTGATGAATCTGATTTTGAAATATTAAATAACTACAATAAAAGGTAGCAAATTTATATGGATATTCACTTAAATTTAATATACAATGCTTCTTTGAGAAATATGTGCATACATATATTTTTTTTTTTTTTTTCTTAATGCATACATTTATATTTCCAATTTCTGTAATTATTATTTGTTTTAAATAATTTTTTTTTAATACTTAAATTGTTTTTTTTTATTTATTTTTTTAATATTTAAATTGTTTTTTTTTTATTTATTTTTTTTTATATTTAAATTGTTTTTTTTTTATTTATTTTTTTTAATATTTAAATTGTTTTTTTTTATTTATTTATTTTTTTACTTTGTATGTATGTAATTTTTGTATATTTGGTTTTTAATTTTTTAAGTATTTTTAATATTTAAATTTTTTTTTAAATTTTTTTAACCAAGTATTTTTTTTATAGCACTACATCAATATTTAAACTCTCCTATAATATTTGCAAAGATTCGCATTATTTTCGCTTCAATTTGGCAGCCGTTCGACCGAATATTATTATTGAGAAATTAGTTGTGGTACAAACACGTACTTTTTACTATGTTAATAATACGCGTGTACCTTATGCGTTGGGTGAGGATTGCAGTGATTATTTCTTTGTTGATAGTCATCTCTTTAGAAAGGGTGTTGTACAACCGATTGTTGTGGTATTCCACGAAAAGTCCAACAAAGGCAAGCGTGTTGTGGAGCAACATCACTTTTGTGTGAGTAGAATAAATAATAGGTGAAAAAACATAAGTTTAAAATAAATAAAAAGTAAAATAATATTTCAATTTTTAATTCTTTAATTTATTTATTTAATTTTTTAATTTTTTTATTTCGTTTTTTTTTTTTCATATATATAGCGTGTTGAGGAGTTCCCCGCAGTTAAAATGAGCTTTAATCCGTGTCGTTTATCAGATAAAATGTGAGTTTACGTCAATTTAATAATAAATTATAATTAATTATTAAATATTATTTTTTATTCCTTTTATGTTTTAAATAATACCGCATCGCTTGTTTTATTTCATAATTTTTTATTAATTGTCCATTTTATTTGTTGCAGTAAATTTAAACCAACATTTCCACTACCTCACTATATGCCACCGGCCGAAATTCGCAATGCTCTTCGTACCGATTTAATTGAAAGACCATTAACCGAACTTTCGAATGATTTTAAAGATTACTTATTTAATGATAAAACTTTGACTCAGCAAAATATACGTGAGGTGCTGTTGAAATTATTACAGATTGAGGATTGGGATACTATGCGCGAGTATTCGAGTTTGGTTCAACGTAATGTTAAATTACGCACTTATGAAAACGAATATATCATTAAGGTAGGCAGTGTTTTTCGAGATATCAGTTTATATTTAAAAATTAATTCTAGAAATTTAACTCCATTGTCCATCCTACATAATACTCGCTTATAAAAACACTTCCCGCTTACGGACGTATGTTTCACTACAGCAATTAAAAAAAAAAAAAAATAAATAAATAAAAAAATTATCTTCTCTAATGTCTCTTTAATAAATTTTATAATTTGTTTTATATTTTATATTCATTTTTTTATGTTTTTCGTTATTTATTTTATTTTCATTTATTTATTTTATTTATATTTATGTATTTATTTTATTTATATTTATTTATATTTATTTATTTATTTATATTTATTTATTTATTTATATTTATTTATTTATATTTATTTATTTATTTATATTTTAAAAAATTTCTTTTCTGTTTGTTTCCATTTACAAAAAAAACCATCAACATCGCATATACTATTCCAAATTTTTTTCCACATTTATTTATTTATATATTATGCATATGCATATATGTATATTTATTCATGTATTATTATTTTTTATACAATTTTTAAATTTTCTATGTTGATTTAATTTTTTATTTATTTATTTTTTACCTTTTTTATTGTTATTTCATTTGTATAGTTTTTATTTTATTTATTTTTTATTTGATGCACAAAAAAATCTATGAAATTGCATATTTTCTTCTAAATTTATATTGATATATATATATATATAGATTTGTATTTATTTTAATATTTTATTCTGTTCTTATTATTTTTTAATTAAATTATTTATTTCTTATAATTTTATTTGTTTATGTTTTTTATTTCACACACAAAACAAATCTTTTAAAATCCCAACTCTATAGTATATATTTTTTTTTTTAATTTTTTTATTTGTTTCATTTACACATATTTTTTTATTTTTTTTTTAATTCTTATTTTTTTACTTTTATTTTAATTTTAATTCAATTTCTATTTTTATTTTATTTCTGTGTATCTATGTTCTCTAATTTGCTTTATTTATATTTTAAATTTTTTTTCCTTTTTATTGGATATTTAAATTTTTTTATTTATGTATTTATTTTCATATGTGTTATTTTAATTTTTTTTTTTTAAAGTAAGTAAACTAAAAGAAATTTTGTATTTGTTTTACATTATTACAATTTCTTATTTTATTTTATCTTTTTTTATATTTTATTATTATTATTTTATATTTTACTTAATATTTATTTATTTTTTATATATTTATTTTACTTTTTATTTGTTATATTCAAATATTTTTGTAGTTTTATTACTTTATTTATTTATTTTTTATTTAATTTATTTTTTAAATTTAATTTTGAATTTCCAGTTGAAAACACCGAGACACATACGCGTCGAGAATATAATTTTTCCTTTTGACGATGCTATTATCTTGCCTTCTGATGAAGACAAAGCCATACCAACCTCATTGGAGGGTTTAATGAATAAAATGGAAGAATTAATTGACGCATTATCCAAGAAAGGAAAGAAAAAGTGTAAGAGCTTTTGCGGTTTTATTGAATGTGTTTCAAATGGTAGAGTGACCTTTAAGTGTGAACAAAAAATACCGATTGATAAAACATATACCGTACTTTTTCGTCCATCGCGTATGGTGTTACGTTATCAATATCGTGCCTTGGAACAATTGGTGGCGATGCCGCAACTCACACTGAAACAATTTCTTTTTCCGGATAAAATCTTACCACGCCAAATGTCAGTTATAAGGTGAGATAATAATAGTAATGTAAAAAATATTTTGAATTTAACTTTTTATTTTTTACTTTTTTTTTTAATTTTAATAATAGGTTGGATCTACTTAACAAAACGATTTATAAAAATCCGGAACAATATCAGGCAATACAGTGTGTGGTGGATAGTATTGGGACACAAAGTGCACCCTATATTATATTCGGACCGCCAGGTATGAATTGTGCTATCGATGAATGAAACAAAAATAAATATGAATACATAAGAAGTAAACAACTTTAATCACTTTACCTTACCCCCTCCCCATCCAATTATAGGTACCGGCAAAACGACGACACTTGTCGAAGCTATTTATCAACTATATATGCTCCAACCACAATCGCGTATACTCATTACAGCCGGTTCGAATGGTGCTTGTGATGAGATTGCATTGCGCCTGTGTATTGCATTTGGTTCAAAAATTGAACCAAATACCATAACACGCATTTATGCGCGTTCGTATGAGAATCGTGCAATGAACTTAAGCGATGTACTCTTGGAGCATTCAAATTTATATGGTGATCATTTTCTACCCGCTGTAAGCGTTTTGCATACATATCGTATTGTTGTATGCACATTGAGTATTGTGGGTCGCCTGGCTACGGGTAAATTTGGTAAAGAGATGTGCGGTGATGGTGTCTTTACGCATGTCTTCGTTGATGAGGTGGCCGCTTCAACGGAAGCGGAAACACTAGTTGGTCTTATGTCAACACTCAGTGCGAAAGCAAATTTAATCATTTCCGGTGATCATCGACAATTGGGTCCCATTCTGAATTCGAAACGTGCTGCTGCTATGGGCTTAGAGGTATCATTGATGGAACGTTTACTGAAACGAGACTGCTATCGTGTCGATGTAGATGGCAATTATAATCGTCAAATACAAACACGTTTATGTCGTAACTATCGTTCGCATCATGAGATTGTTAATCTCTATAGTAACATGTATTATGATGGTCAGTTGAAAGCTGAGGCTGCATCAGGTAAGTGGTGAATAAGTACACATGTACATATATAAGTATATAGCACATCGGTTATGCGTCTTTGGTCTATTTAGATACATATAACCGGTGCTTCTAAGATGTATAATCTCTTAAGAATCCTTTATCTGTCTTTCCGTCATGTTTTACAATTTTCATAAAAGTTCATTAAAACTCAAATCTACACTTTACACTTACAGATGTAGAAAAATTGTGTCGCGATTGGTATCGCTCACCCAATGCCGAATATCCAATTATATTTCATTCAATTTTCGGTCCTGAACAAAGAGATAAAAATTCAACGAGGTAAGTAAAACTTTGTACACATTTTCTATGAAGGAATATATCTTACTCGTATAAGACTGCTCTTCATTCTCATTTACACTTTAACCTCATGTTTTCCGAAAAAAATTTCTGTTCAGCAACTAATTTGTCGAAGAAATCTCTGTTGTTGTTTTTGTAACCGCAAATTATTCCCCAAATTGGTTTTCGGGGAATATTGCGGGAGTGACAGTCCTTGGCCGGATAAAAATCCGGGTCGTTCCGGTATAAAGACCCGACTGTCGCGGGAACTCTTGGATTTTAGTCGCCTCTTACGACAGACATACCTTACCACGGGTAAATTCTTGAGACCCTAACCCGCAGGGGGCTCATTTTGTGTTGTTGTTATTATAATTCTTGTTGTTGTAACTTCAGAAAATATTCCCCAAAATTGTTTTCCGGATCCTTCTGGTATAAAATCCGACTTGCGCAAACTAGTGACAGAGATCTTACCGGCGAACAAAGTAGAGTCTTATCGGCAATAACTTTCCTGTCCCCATAGCGAAGACGATTAAAGTGTTTTGCTGTTTTCATCTTTTACACACCATCTGAGCTGATCAGCACATCGGCATGGCTGCCATAAACAACTAGATAGTTTATGGCCTTAATCGAAACCGGTCCTGCGAACATGGAGCATACCTTTTTGCAACCTGGGTACAAGGGGTGGATTATAAACTAACTGAGTAGTCGACAGTCATCGATGGAGTTTCATGGTCAAGCTTCTCCACCAGAGGGCATTTCACTGATCTCTTAATCCGAAGATTGTTCAATATTGGCATCTGGCTAGGATATTGATAACTTTTGTACGAAAGTAAATTGACATCCATTTCTTACTTCGTCACTGTACGATATTTATAACAACAACCTGTGGGCTACTCTTTTTATCAGCTGGACCAGCTGTACCAGCTCATCCTCGATTGGATGCCGGTAGACTAGTGAGACGCTGATGAAGAAATTACAAAACTGCCAAAACAACATGAATCAAACATTTATGCTCCATGCTGCTGGGATTTTTACGACGATAATATTTATCTGAAGCTGAACCTCCTCCTGCACTCCGCACACGACCGTAATTGCCGCAAACTCCAGAACCGCGAAAGAAACCTTCAAAGCGCTAGCAGGCATCACTTAGGGAAAAGTTAAAGAAACTTTGCTGGTAACTTACAAAGCAACTGGCCGGCCGGTCGTTAATTAGCGCCTTTTCTGACCGCGATGTCGGCTGAGCATCACTTGCACAGCGAAACATCTATGCTACGAGTTAAGGAGCATAATGCTTTTCTGTGCAGGCAATTACACTATTGGGATGCTACGGCACTGTTTGAGCACTACAACAGATATCTAATAGAGGCTGAACCTCCATCTAGGCACATCAGAAAGGGAGTACTACTACCTTCAAAAACTCCCTTACTGAGAATGGCGTGCAGCATCAATAATAACAACATTCTTCGTGTGAATGGCTTTCTCGGAATCCAACCACCACTTATAAGAGACCAGCGGCACCCTGTGGGTTGGGGGTTCAAGAATTTACCCGCGGTAAGGCATGGCTGTCGTAAGAGGCGGCTTAAATCCAATACCGGAACGACTCGGATTTTTATCCGTCCAAGGACTGTCACTCCCGCAACATCCCCCAAAAAGTACTTTGGGGAATATTTTCGTGGTTACATCATTATCATCATCATCATCACAGACGAACGCTTCTAGCTTACTCTCGAAACCTGGTATATACTGGTACAATTACAAGTCTTGATATTGTAGTCGTCCAAACTCATACCTATCCAGACTTTACAACAGCGTATCCAACGTACATATGTACTACTAATTACTCATAGCGCTCATTCTCATTCTTTGCGTATGCTTGTGTAGTCTGCAATACCCTGTAATAAATTCTGTTACTATTATTATGGTATTCTTACAAAGTAGTACGATATCTCTAAATCTTTTGGTATTGCCGCCGTCCATAAACTGTTTCGATTGTCTTATTCCGATACCAATATCTTCATTTCTAAACTGCTATTTAATTGTATAATAACCTATATTGGAGAAGTGTCGTTTTAGTTAAATTCTATATTAATTTAAATCTTGTTATTAAATTGTTTATTTTCACTCTCTCTCACTCTCTCTCTCACTCTCTCTCTCAATCTCACTCACTCACTCTCTCTTTCTCGCACTCTCTCTCTCAATCTCACTCTCTCTAACTCACTCTCTCTCGATCTCACTCTCTCTAACTCACTCTCTCTCAATCTCACTCTCTCTCACTCTCTCTAACTCACTCTCTTTCTCACTTTTCTCTCTCTCTTTCTCACTTATCTCACTCTCACTCTCACTTATCTCACTCTCACTCTCACTTATCTCACTCTCACTCTCTCTCTCTCTCTCTCTCTCTCTCTCTCTCTCTCTCTCACTTATCTCATTCACTCTCTTTCTCACTCTCTCTCTCTCACTCTCTCTCTCTCTCACTCTCACTCTCTCTCTCACTCTCTCACTCTCTCTCTCTCAATCTCACTCTCGTACTCTCACTCTCTCTCTCTCAATCTCACTCTCGTACTCTCACTCTCTCTCACTCACTCTCTCTCTCTTCTAGCCGTTATAATCCACTCGAGGTCGCCACTGTTATGGATTATGTAAGAGATTTACTATATTTCGGAATTAAAGGGCATAAAATCAAACAAAGTGATATTGGCATTATAACGCCATATAAAAAGCAATATATGCGCATACAAGAGGAACTAAATCTACGCAATTGGTATCAAGTCGAAACTGGTGCCGCCGAATCGTTTCAGGGTAAAGAGAAAAACATTATAATTGTTTCGTTCGTGCGTTCTTTCTCAAATTCATTAGGTTTCGTAGACTGTCCAAAGGTGAGTGGGTTGTGAATACAGTAAATATGGATATAAAAATATTTTAATTTTTTATTTATTTTATTTTTATTTTTTTTGCGAAATTTCAGCGTTTAAATGTGATTCTCTCACGTGCACGCTCACTACTCATACTAATCGGCAATCCACGCACATTGAGTATTAATGGTGATTTCAAAAGTATTATCGAAAAGTGTCAAGCGCATAAGACCTTAGTTGGCGCTAAGTACTTTGATGATAATGGCATAAATCCCAATAGGACGGCAACGAAGGGTAAAAATTTGAATGGAAAAATGGAGAAACTAAACAAATCTATGACAGCATTAAATGTTAGCAAAGAGAACATTACACAGATTAATGGTAATAATGATAATAATGGGAATAACGATAATGAGAATGATGCTAAGAAATCCCAAAAAGCTAGGCAACGTGGATGTCGCAGAAAGAAAAATGCACAAAAGAAAGCACAAGCAAATGAAGCTGCATTCAAAAGTAAGCGCTCTTTTTTCCTCAGATTAGATTAAAACAAAAAAAAAAAGATCTTATTAAAGGCAGCTCATAACATTTTTTTTTTAATCTTTACTAAACAAAATACACTAACGGCAATTAGTATGCGCAGACGCGTTGCTTTTTGAGTATCAAATATATGCATATACATATATTATATATACAGATAATGTAAGTGCGTGTTTGTGTGTCGAAAGTTGAACGTTTGTGAAGTTTCATATATATTTAAATGTAAATATACAGTTTATATACATACGTATATAATCAGTTAAAAGTACAAAATTGGGTTTAAGAAAAAATTTCATGTTTCGAAACTTTAAAGCTTAATTTAAACGCTTTTTATTGTCGTAGTGAAATATGTTTTGCTTTGTTTTAGTTATTATTTTAACATTGTACGCATAACATACATACAGATCTCATCCAACATTAACTACATATACATATTATATGTATGTAACAGACACCAACAGCACAAAATTATATTTGAACTATGCTTTTTTTTTAGTTATAATTTAAATTGGTGTGAGTGAACTTTAATTTTTTATTTCTTAATTATATATTTTTAATTAAATATTTTTTAATTATTTATTTTTTAATTATTTATTTTTGCTTTATTAATTTTTTATGTGTCTAAAAATGCCTAAATTATATGTATGTACGTATGTATAATATTTCAATTGCACTAATGCTTGAAAAAATTTTTGTTGTTTTTGTTTTTAATGTTTTTTTTTCTCAATTATGGAATATTTCTTTTTTAAATAAACAGCTCTAAAACCATAACACATTCAGTACATGGACAGTATTATATTATTATTATTATTATTTGTTGTTGTTGTTGTTGTTGCCCTCAAAAATATGTCTCTAATTGATTTTCGGAGTATATTGCGAGAGTTACTGTACTTGGCCGGATAAAAATCCGGGTCGTTCCGGTATAAAGATCCAACTGTCCCCGGAACTATTACGTTTTAGTCGCCTCTTACGACAGGCATGCCTTACCGCGGGTAAATTCTTGAGCCCCTAACCCGCAGGGATTGAACCGCTGCGTATTTTTGCTTAAAATCCTTAATAATATTTATTTGGAATCACTTTTTTATGGTTGATTTTTATTACAAGCTTCGAGAGTTAATCATCTCGTTGATCTCAACGCGGTTAGGTTTGAATTTTTTGACTGTTTGGAGAGTTTTAACATAGCCAATGTCATGCACGCCATAGTAGTGTTTGATTACCGAAAAAGTGTACGCTCTTCGCCGCATAAAATCTGTGTTCACCCCGGCGCGTAGCGCTGCCAGCTGTTGTGTGGGGCCTGGTGTCATCTAATACCCATCTTACATTGTGACGAGTATCAAAAAAAAAAAAAGTCCCAAGCATACCATACTAGTGTACTCATGCAAACTCAGCATAATCACCGCTGAACTAGAAGGCGCATGCGTAACCAAGTATTGTGAAAATATGCAGCCCACAGGGAGGAGTTCGTTCCTTCTCGTCCCTTTTTTACTATCTCACAGTTAGCACGTTGCAACGCAAGCTAAGAAGTATGGGTTGTGATGTAGTCTCACCTGGCACCGAAATATGGTGAAAAGCAGTAAGACAACTATGATAGCGGTCGGTAAAAAATGGAAACTAAGACTCTATAATAGCGACTGGCTATACGACGCGGTAAAAAGATCCATATTGTACTACGGTGTGGCTGTATGGTGGTTGTCACTAGACAAAACTACCTATATATGCAAGTACTGCTGGACAGGAAGGCGTAGCGACAGGGCATAAAACTTCTTAAACTCATTTACGCGAAATGGAGTTCTCGTCGGTCAAGCAGATGAAGAGTTGAAGCTGTCCGAGAGACCCTAGTAATACTGACGCAACTGACGTGAGACCATCTCGTAATTTGGTCACATTTAAGCACTGAAAATTTGAGCTGATTGATAGAACTCGGTGTATCTGGACTATATTACCTTGACTGACTGCACGAACTATGAAAACGTCAGTAAACACCTCTCTAAAAAGTAAGGCAGAGCTACTAAGTTTGTATATAGTTGCACATTATGCTTAATTTTCGACCAGTTTTTAATGCGTAGTTCTCATCACAAGTTTTCTTTTTATATATAATACAACAGTATGCCTCGTTTTTAACACATGCACTAACAGTTTTTGTTTGCAACCTCTTTTTTTTATTACAGCCGTTAAGCCCAATTCAGCCGAAAAGCAACGTCAAACATTTGAACGCTACAAGGATCTCTGTCTAACCGATGAACTTTATAACAATGCTGGCGATAAAAACACCACTAAACAAATGAAATCCGATATTGATGAACTCTTCGATGTTCTGCCACGCGTACCACGCAATAAAACGCCACGAAGTAAAGTCAAAGACGATGACTTTGAAATAATCGATTTGCCAACAAATCAAAATTCAATGCACAATGCGTTTCTAGAACGTTTGGATCGACTACAGAGGACACAATCACAATCACAAGCACAAGCACAAGCACCGAAGATACAAGCTACAACAACATCAGCTGGTATTGGTGGTACTGCAACATCGCAACGACCAGGCTCAGTATCGAGTGGAGGGAATGGAACGGCAGGCAACTTACAAAGGAGAAATACTCCCTCCATGGGAGCTTGCCAATCAGAATCGGCAACTAATAATGCACGTCCGTCGGTTGTGACCACTAATACGCGTCCAACGGGTTTAACCCCTATGAGCCAGCCATTGGGATTTACAACTAATCACGTTCCATCTGGCCTAAATACTAATACCCGTCCTGCGGTATTGACAACTAATAATGCACGTCCTTCGGTTGTGACCACTAATACGCGTCCAACGGGGTTAACCCCTACGAGCCATTCTTTGGGATTAACCACTAATAACGCTTCATCTAGCCAAACAGCTAATACCCGTCCAGCGGTAATGGCAACTAATGCACATCCTTTCGGATTAACATCAACTAATCGTCCTACAGTATACACTACGGCAGCGAGTGATTCAAACCGAACTTCATTTGGTGCTTCATCTACTTCGATTAGTGGTCGTTTACCAATTCATGCGGTAAACGAAAGGCCAACACAACGGGCCGAAGAAGTCTTTGCCCGTACAGAGTATCCCACGCAATTTAGATATACAAGAGTGCGCCAAGAGAAGAAATCTTCCAAGTGCGTTATCGCCTAACACTAGAAGTTGAGCGTGCGAATGATGTTTGCTTGACGCTTACTATCCCATTTTATTAAAATATTATTTTCTTATATTAATATGCAAAGTTTGTCGAGGATTGCAATGTCTTTTAAGAACTCACAATTCTTCTTCAGTACACTTTTTTCTTGGTAAACTTTGCTCGTAGTTTTGCAGTGACGATGAGACCAAACAATGTGTGTGTTTTGTACGGATTAAGGGTTGAGATATCTTTGTCTGTCTCTCATATATTGCTTTGGAAAATCATTGGTTCTGCAGAAAGAAATGTTTGTACGTAAATTCTTGCGTCAAATAAGTAGTTTGAGAGTTGTTCAACTCATAAGTTAACAAATCTCAAGCGAGGTTGTGGTTGAGATAGTTGGAGTGTGAAGCCTATTTAAGGCGGCTAAACTGATAAAAAAACACAAAGGAGCTTTTAAAACTTATTAATTATTTAAAAACCATAATATTATCAACCCACGCGGTTTCATTTGATAAATTCAACATTTTGCTACTTTATGTGTACTACAAAGCTAGAGAGTTGTGTTCGATTTCGAATCGAAGATCAGTTTCGAAATAATTAATACTGAATTTTATGCCAGTGTGAAGGCTACCACATTGGTTTCGAAACGTTTAATATCTCGATTTATACCAATTTTCGCTTTGAAATTTTTAGTTTCAGACCAAATTTTGGTGTTTAGCTTTATACCAGTTATTGATTTAAAAAATCGCAAATTTACTGCGCTGAAAGATATTGGATTTTTTAGACCAAATAACGGTTTCAAAAAATTAGTTTCAAACTTTATACCAGTTACTGGTTTGCACCAAATTGGTTTCGGAATGTTGAATACATATTTGGGTTTATACCATGTTTAGACAAAATAACGGATTCGAAAAAAAATAGTATTAAACTTTACGCCAGTAACTGGTTTGAAAAGTACCGATTCGGTTTCGAAATGTTGAATACATATTTCGCTTTACACCAGTTATCAGTTTGAAAATATTGAAATTTTTCGTTTTACACCAAATGTTGATTTCGAAACAATTAATATTTGCTTTATACCAGTTACTGGTTTGCACCGAATTGGTTTCGAAATGTTGAATACATATTTGGCTTTATACCAGTTATCGGTTTAAAAATTTTAAAATTTTTCGTCTTGGACCAAATGTTGATTTCGAAGCAATTAATATTTTGCTTTATACCATTTACTGGTTTAAAAAGTAGCACATTCACTGCTTTGAAGGTAATTGAGATTTTTTGTCTTGGACCAAATAACGGTGTCAAGAAATTAGGTTCAAACTTCATACCAGTTACTGGTTTTGCACCAAATTGGTTTCGAAATGTTGAATACATATTTCGCTTTATACCAGTTATCGGTTTAAAAATATTAAAATTTTTAATTTAATATATACTTGCTTGCTAGTTTAAAAAGTAGCACATTCACTGCTTTGAAGGTAATTTATATTTTTTGTTTTAGACCAAATAACGGATTCGAAAAAATTAGTATTAAACTTTATGCCAGTAACTGCTTTGAAAAGTACCGAATTGGTTTCGAAATGTTGTATACATATTTCACTTTGTATCAGTTAGTGGTTTCAAAAATATTGAAATTTTCATTTTAGACCAATTACTTGTTTTAAAGATACCGCATTGGTTTCGAAATGTATAACAAAAATTTCGCCTTAAATCAGTTACTTTTTAAAAAAAAATCTGAATTTTTGTATTTTACACCCATTATGGGTTTCGAAAACAATAATATTTCGTTTTATACCACTTACGGGTTTGAAAAATATTACATTTCGCCTTATATCAGACGTTTATGTAAACATGTTTAACCTTTCCAAATATTTCATAATTAATTTCCACTTAGCTTAACAGCATTCGGAAAAATCTTAAATGTTGGGCCTTATAAAACTGGTCTAAAACGATATGAGTTCAATTAAATCGGCTTAACATTTTTTTATCAGTTTCATTTTTTCACATACAATTTAAATAAAAAAAGCCAAAATCTTATGTATTTTTTTTTTTTGTTTAAACATGTCTAAAGGAATTAAAAAAACAAACGCCACAACTAGAAATAATATTTACATTTTATATCACAATTTTACGAAAATAATTCCAAAAATATTGTATTACTAGCACATACACACATATATGCATATCTTTATATAAATATTATATATAATAAAATGAAATGCCAAAGGTGCTGTGATATTTATTCGCGCTCCATTTAGCACCTAAATCCTTTGTCTTCTACTTCTAATTATTTAAATGGCGAGAATAGGGCGAAGAGGGCTGGCTCAACTTGAATGTCGTGTGCATTCATTGGGAAGGCATCGCTGCCTAAAACTGGCTGATGACTAAAATCTGACATCTCCGCCATCCAAGAAGTGCGATTGACGGGAGACAAGGACGGCAGAAAGTGAGTCTAATGAAATCGACTAAACGACCATATAGAAAAGCACAAGTTGAATTTATATTGTGGGTGAGAAACACCGTCGTCGAGTTCTACCATACACTCCAATGGATGAACGATTCGCCACAATCCACATCAGAGCAAAGCCCATCCTCTCACGACAAACCAATAACCAAACTCTAGATCTCGCTCATCATTTCCATGCTCCTCCTACATGAAACTCAAGCGTGGTCGTCATCAACAAAAGTCTTAAAAATTTAAAAAACGATATGTTTTATTTTTGGCTTATTTTTTTTTTTTTTAAGAATATAAAATATCTTATACTGTGCTTGTTGTTCCATTCGGTACATAAAATTTTTACAAAAACGCTGTCGGATCGGGTAAGAAATTTCCACGACGTTGGCACTCTTTAATGATAAATTCATAATCGCCCTGTTGGGATAGCGTCTCGTCATTTCCGATAAGGATCAGCAGCGATTTGGCACGCGATAATATAACATTCAAACGCTATGGAGGGGAGAAAAAAACATTAGTGAATTACTCTCATTTTCATATTTTACCTTGATTAGTCTGTGTTGTTGTACGCACCTTTGGATTTTTGAGGAAACCGATAGACTTAGTTCTCGAACGAACAAAGGATGCGATTATTACCGCCTTCTCCTTGCCTCTATATATCTCCGCCGAACCGGTTTCGATTTGAAATTTACGTGCAACATTCAATTCCTCTTGGATTGTCATGTACTGATTGCGGTATGGCGATATTATGCCAATGTCACTCTCCTCCAATTTGCGTCCATCACCCAAACCGTTTTCCAATAAATCATCTACATAGCGCATGACCTGTAGCACTTCTTTCCAGTTAGCAAGACTACAAAAAAAAGTATACAAGAAAGTTTTTAAAGTAAAGTTGAAAATTTAAACTAAAAATGTTGAAAAAAACGGAAAAAAAATTTATTTTCAGTACAATTATCCAGTCTGAATGATGTATGGTGCAACAAAGACTAACTGCTACCTAGCATTAGGTCAGCCAGAGCTTGACCTAGCCGCACAAACTTTAAACCAACTCTCAGCTGAGACAACAAAGCCGTGGTCTGGGTGCCTGGGCAGAAGAACATCCCAGGCGGTTGAGCTATCAAGAGAAGGGACCACTATAACTGAGATTAGGTACTTTTCCAATAATATTTGTCGTAGCTGCAGTGGCGAAGAAGTGCAAGAGTCTCTTGAGCAATACTCCACTCAAATCATAGCATATCAATGTCTTTCGCGACGCTCAAGAGAGCTTTATTAACCAATTTCAAAGCCTCCTTTAGTCTTTTTCGCTGCGAAGCACCGAAATATCTGAGAAAAGTTCTAGCTAGGGGCGCACAGAAACAGTGGACTCACTCATGTCCTCTTTCCTGCATTTTCTACATGTGTGCTGGGCGATGTTAGGTCGACGAAAATGTGTTGTGCAGAACCGATCATTGGTTGAAGTTTTTAAAGCTTATACAACGGAACACGAAAGATTCCTTTATTGAAATGTCTCCACATTCCGGTTATTTATGATGGAACACATTTTATCACGAACTCGAGGTTACCGTTGTTTGCAGAGAAGTAGGACTTCGCAGCTACCTTTCAGGAGGAGGAGTCGTTCCTCGCCACCTCTATATGTATATTTGATGTTTTCAATGAAGGAGGCGAGTGGCACCACGCTCTGACCTTTCCAGAGGAGGAGTAAAGTGTATTACTTCACCGCCAGTGAATTACATCCTAACTATACTTAAGCTACCTGTCGCTAAAGTAATCTACTTACGACTCCTACCTTCTTGGGCTGCAGCTGGCCTTGCTACCTTAACAGCCCCCGACAAAAAATTGCCCAACGTAGTCAAATCGCAGCTGCGAGGCAACCGGCCGACCACGAAGTTTTTGCTAATTATACGATTTTCAAACACAGTGTGCAAAGAATGGACTGTAACATGACACGTGGGGCACGTAACACCATACCGGTGAAACTTATCCAATCCATGTCAGTCGCTAACACATTAACCTCGGAGTAAGGTAAGGTATAGAAGAACGCAGCTGGTAATATTGTTGGCTATCAGTCGACTAGGCCCTGGCCTTCAGGGACTAACGAGAAGAAGCTATATACTTGCCCCAACATCAACACTTAGAGGATAGAGTATCAGAAAAGTTAGAAATATTTTTCTCGCTTACACATAATCTACTTTGCGAGACATCCATGTTACCGCTTATAGAGCTTATAGAGCCAAATAGTATCTACAGTAGAAATCAACACAGCTCATTGCCTGGATCTTCTGTTAGTTGATCTCGATGACTTCCTCCTAAGCGGAGTTTGCGAACCGCTCTAGCGACGAGCATGCCTTATCGCGTGTAAACTCGCGCATAGGCGCACGTGAGATGAAAGTATTCCCCGCATAATTAAGGTCTACATATTGCTGGGTCTTAACTTCGGTTTATCCAGCCCCGATCTCGACATATCTAATGTCAATTCAATGCAAATGTCCCCTTAAACCCGACTCTTCTAACAGTATTTTCTCTTGCACCTCTAATCTAAAGGTGGGCGGTGCGAACACGTTGAAAACAGCTCGTTTGCTAGACCTCACATTGCTGACCACGACCACGTCGACTTGCTTTGCATGCTCCCAAATGGAGCTCTATCTAACAGCTACAACAACAACTTACGCTCCCTCTGAAAATAGTGATTGGAATATTCTTTGGTCATCAATTACCTGCCAGTATCTTCATCCACCTCTTCTTTACCACGTACGGATTGAAATAATATGGGAAAATCTTTATCTTTTAAAACTTTCCAGTTCTCGGCCCAATTGGTTTGTTCTGTAAAAGTAATTCAGATCAATAAAAAAAAATATAAATAAAAATAAAAATGTTTACATATTTATATACTCGTACATATATGTACAATTATATACACACCTTTGGGCGCCATGGCCAATAGCTTATCCTCATAGTATAAATGACTGAAAAGTTTCACGATCGCCGGATGCGAACGGAAATTACGACACAAACGCGTCTGTATACTGCGTTCATATTGTTCGTTGTCCCCATCAACAACAACATCATAGCACTTACGGTCCAGCAATCTTTCCATTAGCGATACGCCCAAACCCAATTGTTCGGCACGATCCGATTTCACTATCGCACCCAATTGTTTGTGATCACCGGCTATGATTAATTGCGACTTTTCACCCAGCGCACTAACCAAACCGACTAAGGACTCCGATAGGGAGCACGCGCCTGCCTCATCGTGAAAAACATGCGTGAAATGCTTAAGACTGCCCATGGCCAGTTTACCGACAGCACTCAGTGTACATACCACAACACGATAGCTTTGTAGCACTTCCAAATCCGGATAGAAATGCCAATCGTACATATTCGAATATTCCAGTAGTAATTTATTCATATTTTCACGTCGTTGCTCTTGCGAAAAACAGTAGACGCGCGCCAATATTTGTGAGCGTGGCTCTTTGCCCAGCGCAAGCGCATTGCAAATACGCAAGGCGATTTCGTCGCAAGCACAATTCGGACCGGCTGTTACAAGGATTTTCGCGTCGGGCTCATGCAACAATTGTAATATTGTTTCGACCATTATCGATGTTTTGCCCGTGCCGGGTGGTCCGAAAATAACGAATGGCGATAAGACATGATTATTTTTACTGATGGACACAATGTTTTTGACCGCTTCTTTCTGTTCAGGATTAGCGGCTATATTCTTGTTATAGAAAGACAAGCTAAAAGTGGAAAGAAAAATTAGACACGATGTCAATAAATACACACATACACATACATATATACGAGGAAGTGTTTTACTGTTCGTGGCATGAGAACATTGTGAGGGTTATTGGTTAGAATCACTAGGATCGTTAGGTACTCAGTGACTCTGATAATTGGTTTAATTACGAGGTTTTATTGTTATTAGACAATCAGTTTCTATGACAACGTCAGCTAAGCCGCATAGTCGGCTATGGAGCCGTTATAAGGGTCTCTACCAAGCAAGGAAAATCAGTTGCGAGTGTAATGAATGAGATGCTCTTGACCTGCGTCGACTTTTGTTCGGGGAAAACCATGAAGTAAAGGCTTTTTCTGTTGCTGTTCAAACAGGGAACAAAATCCCATAAAGATGAGCCGTGGAGCTACAGGAGCATCGAGGAGAGCCCGACAAAACAAATTGTTCGCGATGGTGCTCGACTAAAGTAGAAAAAACTCGCGGCAATTGCTGGAGTATTCCAATCCACTATCATACAAAAATCTGCCTGATCATCTTGATATTGACTAATTTCAGCGCAGGCTGGCTGACGAGTATGTTTACGTCACCGCAAAAACAACAGCATGTAGAGTGTTTACGCGCATTTTTGGATCTATGTACTGTAAGGAGGGATGGTGTTCTGAGTTGAATTCTTACTGGAAACGAGATTTGGGTTCGTCATTAAGAATCAGAGTCTCGAAATATAAATCCATGTAGTGGCATAAAAAGAAGATAGCAGATAAAAGAAAGAAGAACAAGCTTAAGCTATCATAGTCAGCTGGGAGACTCAGAGCAAGGGTCTTTTGGGATTCGGTAGATCGAATATAAAGATAAACGTGTTTCTTTAACTGGAGATTAAAACGCCGCCGCGTTGCGTTTGCTGCCTGCATAAAGTGGGCTTTCATATTTTGAATCACCCACCCTGCAGCGCAGACCTGGTCTCGAGAGGTTATTACCGATTGCAAAAAAAACTGAGGGGCACAAAATTTAGCATCGATGATGAAGGCGTCAAGGAGGCAGTTAAATAAATTGAAAGATCTATAAAATGTAATCGTCTTTTCGGTGTATAAATAGAAAAGGAAAAACAATTCTTTACTTCCATCCCTTATCCGCCATACTCCGAACATAAAACCGCTCCCTCGTATATATGAGAAATAAAAAAAAAACATAAAACTTACCAAATTTCCGACAGCGTAGGCGCATTCGACGGTTCGGGAAAAAGAAATCGATTCAATACTTCCTGATCTTTTTTATAAATTTCCAACGCATTGTATTGATAACGTAGCGTTACACGTGCCGGATAAAATATTATGAGATACCTTGGCTTCGGTTCCAATTTAATATTTCCATCCATCACTAAAGTCACCTGCTTACCTTCTACCATCTCAATTCGACCAAGAAAAGTGGTTTCAATTGCGATGGAAGTGGATTTGAAATCAAGCGAACCACTCATTAGGAATTCCAAGTATTCTCGTTTAGGCAATAAATTAGTCTCTTTACATTCGGGGATAACCATAACACGATTAAAGCGAGAGAGTAAAGCGTCGTTGGCACAACCGAGGTGACGAGATTTTCCACTTAGCTGTGTAGATAGAGAATTTTTAGAATATTAGATTTTATGAATATTTTTTGTTATTTAAACAATATAAGAATAGAACAATAGAAGTAGAAGAATGCTTTGGGACATGTCTCCTCACTGGCGTAATGTAATCAGACAAATCTGGCTGTTGATCCATGAAAAAAAGAAATATCTCTCTACTCCTACTAAAGAGTACCTTGACGAACATAAAAACCATGTGCAATAATCGGACACTTTTTGATGGGCACTCAGATTGAGGGACGGATTACTTCTATAATCCCTTCTGTTACAGCTGTAGACACATAGACGAGTAGGAGAAGTCGCTGGGGCAATAGCTCTCATGGGCACCTCATAGCTACAATCTTGGTACCTATGCACACCAGTTCTGTCATTCTATGGTGCAGAAGCATGGACGGTGTCGACATGCGATGAGCGAGTACTGGACTTGAAAGACTCAATTTAGCAGCATGTGGAACAATCACTGGACAGCACGGCGTACAGATTGGCACAGGCACTCAACACCATTCACCAAAAGTCAATCAACAAACACCTGTAAGAACTCTTTGCCTGTGAATGGCGTACTTGGAGTCAAATTACCACCCATAGCAGATGAAGAGCTCAGCTCGAGCTGCCTTAAGAGTCTCGCGTAATACGGGCGCAACTTAAATTTGGATATTTTAGCACCGTGTCTTTACATGCCACATAACAACAACACATCTGACCGCCTTCTCCCTTTGGTTCGAACCTCCTTCTTCCTTTGGACTGAACCCGTCGAGAAAACTCGTTTCTTGGACCTTCCTTTAGATGAACTCGATGATTTAATGATTTATTACAGAACAACTAGCCTGCTCCTACGCGGGGTTGATAAGCCGCCACAATAACAATAACAATAACAACCGATGTGTCAGAACCAGAAGTTTTCGAGGGAGAAAAGTAGTCCAGAAGATTTGTGGTTCTGGAACGATGGCTTGTATAAAAAAATTGACATTTATAATTGACGCTTTGTTGCCCCAGAAGCAACTTTCGGACAATCTTCTCCCTCAGTTTCTGGTGAGCACCATTAATGGTGCAAGGGACCTAAGTCTCCTCCGAACAGTTGATGAATTTCTTATGATGAGCTTTTATTTTCATGGCAGAAATACGCTCGGAAGGGTTGCCATTCCCTGTCGAGGGGTGACCGCAGTTAAAAAAATAATTAACCTCTTTTATTCATATTAACTTTCAATCATTTTTCTAGGCTGATCGCACCAGTACGCGAACACTAATCTCCCGAATGGCTGTAGGCAATGCAAACCACTCGGCTATCGCGACTGCCGACTATTGACATAGTTCAACGAAAAAGGAGAAGTATCGACTGTCGTGGTGTTGCTATCAAGAGGATGGACATGACTTACTGTGAAAATATATCGATCCGATGACTGAGCCAACTTCACATTGCGTTGTATTAGCAGATGATATCTATGCAATATATTCATATCTTCGATACGCAATAGCATTTTCATGGCATCAAACATATTTTCCGGTGTGAAAATTCCACCGCCATTCAGATAGTCAGCAAACTTTGGTGAAAATACACAGAGCGCCTCATCCGGGTAGTTTCCCTTCTTCAAGCTCAAAATTTCAGGCGTGGGCAGGAATTGTGGTAAACCTGTGGTGATGTGAAAGTTTCTGTGGATGGGTTACAAAAACAAAAATAAAAGAGAAAAAAAATCCATTAAAAGTCTGTTCGAAATCACAATAATAAATGAACTTACGATTTCGTAGATAAACGATGGAGTTTCTGATTCTCTGCATTGTACATTACCAGCTTCTTTTCAAATTCCTGATGCAGCTCATTAATTTCCTTGAATTGCAAAAATTTTTTAATTCTGATGCAGAAAAATTCACAACCTTTGGGCTTATCAATCAAGTAAGCGGTGCGCCGGAGTAAAACACCAATCTGCAAGAGAAAGAAGAAAAATAAAATTAATTTATAGAATAGGCTTAGCCATTTCGTGGTCGCAAAAGTACATGGCTTTGTTTTGACAACTTTCAAACTTAACTGCCAAACCATATTTTAGTTAAAAGTCAGGTATTTTTGAAATTGGGAAGGTACAGAACCGGTTACAGATTTTAGGTGGCCCGCGCATCATCGTTTTGCACGCTCCACCTCAAATATCGCTGCTGTAAGCGAAAGTAGCCGAATCTATTTCTTGATGTCATCTTGATCTCAAGAGCTGCGACCTTCTTACGGCACACACATTATATCGTATTTTGCGCTTAAACTTACAACTACATCCATATAAAGTCCAGCTCACACAATAACTCAAGCCAACTGATCATTCACAACGCCGATTGGTTGCTTGCACAACAGTGAACGGCGATTTTTATTTCGAATATCCATCCGGGCTAGGGGTTCATGCATTTTCCCGCGTCAGAGCATGCCTCTCGTAAGGGGCAACTAAAATCCATTAGCTCCCGCGAAAGTCGGGTTTTTTACACTGGAACGAAATGGATTTTTATCTCGCCAAGGTCTGTGACTCACGCAACATAAACCCAACAACTAATTTGGGTAATATTTTTTGAGCTACAATAATATTATTCGAACAAAATTTTCTTCGCCAGAACGAGGAACTTTTCTCACTCGGACTATATTTAAATAAGTGAAATTTGTCGCACCGAGTTGCCATTACACGAAAAACAACTGACTGTCTGATGTGCTCTTTGGTCTGGAGGTGTGATTGGACCTTACTGCTTTGAAAACGACAACAGCAAGATTGTCACGGTCGATTCGGAACGTTATGGTCGTATGATGATCGGCTTTTCTTTTGGCATGCAATATGTAGTTTCAACAATATGGTGCCATATGCCACCCAACACGAGCAAATATGGCTTTATCGCGAGCAAAATCTCCAGATCGCGTAATCTCTCGCCTTGGCAAAGTCATTTTTTTTGTGGGACTACGTGTAAGACTGTATTTATGTGGAGAAACCTTAAACTCCTCCTCTCGAACGGGTTCTATGAAAGACTAAAACCGACCGTCAACTAACTAATTGAGACTCAGACCTGCTAAACCAATCATTGACCAAATCTTGGAAAAAATTTATGAGAACAGAATTGATACACAACATTTTCGATTTTAAACCAGCCTTCGTCAGCTCGAAAAGGAGCAGCTTCTACGCAGCTATATCTGGGTATTGTATCTCCGCAAAACTTATACGACTGGTTAAAATGACGTTAAGCAATACCAAAAGCTGCATCAGAATCGCGTAGGACCTTTCCGAGCCTTTCGATTCGAAACGATGATACAGACAAAGGTGATTTCTTATCGTTTGATTCCTTTAATTGATTGCAGGAGAAAATAATGCGAACTACAGCGCTGAATAGAAGAAGATACAATCTTCTATAAGAGTGTACAGCTGCTGGCGTATACCGACGATATTGACATAACTGACCTTAACAGCAGTGCCGTGAGTTCGCGTTCTTCAGACTGTATATGGAAGCGAGTAGAATAGGTCCGATATTGAACCTTGGCAAGACGAAATATCTCCTGTCATCAAACAAAGAGTCGCCGCAATCGCGTGTCGACTCCCATGCCACTGTTGACAGTCGTAACTTTTATGTTTTAGATAACTTCGTCTATCTTGGAATCTGTATTAAGACCCGCAACAATGTCAGACTGAAAATCCAACACAGAGACACTCTGACCAAGAGTTGCTACTTTTGGCTGAGTAGGCAAGTGAAAGATAAAGTCCTCTCTCCGCGAATGAAGACTATACTTTCCCGTCCTGTTAAATGGTGCGGAGGCATGAACGATGACAACCTCCGATGAGTCGGCGTTAGGAGTTTTCGAGTGTAAATCCTTTCACTAAGATTTACGGTCCTCTACGAGTAGCGAATGATGAGCTACACGAGATATACAACTATATTGACTTGATTCAGCGAATAAAGAGACAGTGGCTATGCTGGCTTGGTTATGCCGTTCCGATAGTTTGATGAAAAAGCTCCAGATCTCAAAGTATTCAATGCAGCAGCTGCAGGCGGAACTAAAGGAAGCAGAAAACTTCCACTCCGTTTGAAGAATCAGGCAGACAAGAACCTCACTACACTTCACTTCACTTAGTGCCTCCAATTGGGTCGAGCAGCTTAAAGACGAAACGAATGGCGTGCTATTGTTAATTCGGCTTTAACCGCCAAGCGGTGCCCACATCAAAGAAGTAGAAGAAGAATACCCACTTTGAATTCAAAAATCTCCAAAGTCTTATAGAAAAAAAAAAACAAAAAACAGTTTACAACAATCTATAAATATGTATAATAGGCGCTTTGTAATCGCTGAAGCGATTTTCCGGCCGAGCTCTTCCGCCAATTCGTGGTTTTGCGTCTTGATGTTTTTTTCCCAACAAATGGAGGGATCTACAGTTTATACTAAGCCGCATCCGAACGGTTGATGGTTTGTTTTTCGAGGAACCTTTATTTCATGTCCGAAATACACTCGGGGCGGTGGACATTCCCTGCCGAGGGGCGATCACAATTAGAGAATTTAATTTAAATTTTAAATAAATTTTCCATAACATCTGGATGCTGGTGGCACCGGGATATGAACCCACGCAATGCTAACCACTCGGGTACCGCGACTGCCACAACACAATTTACAACAACACAAATATATTATACATATACAATGTGTATATGAGCATATCATATTATTTATTGTATTTTCTTGATATTTAAGTCAACTTTATAACGTCGAAGCTCACTCCTCATGCAGTTTTATGAAACTGTATTGAGCCTGAGCTGCTGCTATCAGACTATTTTCTTATATAGGTAGATATGTATGTAGATATGCATGTAAATAAATAAATAAAAATTGTTTGTAAACAATAATCAATGAATTATTTTACTAAATCAGCATTTCTTCATACTTTTGTACAGTTTGAAGTGTCTACACACATACATACATATTTACATACACACAAAATATGTGACGCTGTGGAGTTCGTCCGCTCCAAATTTATTTTGAAAGCGTTAGATACACTTTATTATAAACATATGTACATAAAAAAAATTAATATTGGCAAGATCATAAAAGTAAAAAAAAAAACAAATATGCATATGTGTACGTACGTATGTATGTACGGATATATTTGAAGATAGCTTGGCTTTGAAATGCACTGCATACAAGAGATCTAGAGTATGAGTAATCTGAAACTCGTATGACAAACAGCGAACTTAAGCATACATACATACATATGCACAAACCAACATATTTATGTACATATATGCATTTCTACACAATAGTACATTTATTTATACGTGTATGTACATATGTACATAAGTGCATAATAGAGACAATGAAATAAAATTTTGAAAATTTTGTTAAAAGAAAGAACACTTTTCAATTTTGTTTATTTTTGTAAGTGTAAGAAGTAAAAAAAAAGTCACAAAAAAAAAATTAATGGGGAAAAAATAAAAGTATTTTTTTCGGCGGCATTTGGAAAATTAATCATAACAATCAAGTAACAAAAAGTCAGTTCATCTATTGGAGAAGTTGTACATACATATATGCATATGGAAAATAGTCATAATCGTGAATTTGCTTGTTGTTTTAATGATTATTTTGATTAAACATTACAATACATATATGTATATCATGTATTGTATAAAAATGTACTTAATTCTTTACTTGTATGTATGTAGAAATTTGTAAATATATTTACACTGATATACATATGTATATAGGTGACAGAGCGTAATTACTACATTCAAATAATGCAATGTAAGCGCCAGCCCTTTTCGCTGTAACCGTAAAATAATATTTTAAAAATCTATTAATTTTACACTACGCGTATATACAAATTTATATGCATACAAGTACTATATATAAATAATAATATCAAAAAAAAAAATGTACTTAGTAGCTAAAAAAAAAAAAGTAATATGTGTACATTTATTATATTTACATGTATGTACGTGAATACATTTTAATTACGAATTGACATGCAAACATTTCGTAGCTTCGGAAATACCAATATCCTCTCTTATTACATATTAGAGTTTTGCGAAACTTTCGTTTCAAGAATTTAGCACGGAAGTTTTGGCCCAAAACCTCATATCTGAACAAATCGGTTGAATGTGATTTCAATGATTTTTAAATGTAAATGTTTATTTGTATACATACATACATACATACATACGTGCTTAGAACAATAAACTTAACGCTTTTAAATGCTCTTCTTTTAACGGATTTTCGACCTAAATCCTCACATCTGAACAAATCGGTTGTATGAGGACTATATGTTGTAGTGGTCCCATTTAGATGCTTTTTTGACGGATTTATGACCCAAAAGCTCATATATGTGCAAATCGGTTGCATGGGAGCTATATGTTATAGTGGTCCGATTTTAATGATTTTTGGTAAAAAGGTTTATTTACATATATATATATATATATAAGTGTATAAAATACTAAATCTCTTGCATCTAAATGCAGTTGTGATGAAATTATTGAGCAAAAATAATCTGAAAAAATCGGTTGTTTAGGAGCTATATGTTATGGTGGTCCGAATTATGTAATTTTCAATGCAACTGAGTAATTCATTATATATATGTGCATAGAATACAAAATTTGGCGCACTTAGATGCTTTTTTGACGGATTTATGAACCAAAACCTTTTATCAGAAAATTTGCATGTATTTATATATGTATAATATATACGTATGTTAATTTAATGTTATCTTTAAAATGTAAAAATATCTGAAAAACCCGAGTACAAACTGACACACATGGTTAAATCAACTCTACTCGTTGTTCTGCAGTGCAATTCTGTAACTTTTATCGACACGATTTGTCGGATCGCAAAGTTACGAATTTTGTCGCTTGCGCTAACGATTATGCGATTCTCTAACGCAGTTGTTACGATAATCGACATCGCACATTTCCATTTTATTAAAATGTAGGAAAGGTGGCACCACAGCTCAACGAAACGTCAAAATGCACAAAAAGCACAAAGAGGAATGAAAAAAAACAAATAAATTTGTTATTGAAATTATTTTTATTAAAAGAATATCAATGCATTACAAAGTTTTTCAATAGCATGTTATGGTTTGCACTTTCTTGCATGACTCTTCGCTCTATAGGGGAGCTTCAAATAAAATAATTGTGCCGCGCTCTTGGGTACTTGGCATTTGCCAGTATAATCTTGCGATAAGGACCATATATCTATGTGAAAATATAATTAACTTTGTTACTACAATAGTAATCGGAAACAAATTTACTCTCACCATTTGCACATTGATGGA